TGTTCTCTGGTCCTGGTTCTGTTCTCTGGTCCTGGTTCAGTTCTCTGGTCCTGGTTCAGTTCTCTGGTCCTGGTTCTGTTCTCTGGTCCTGGTTCTGTTCTCTGGTCCTGGTTCTGTTCTCTGGTCCTGGTTCAGTTCTCTGGTCCTGGTTCAGTTCTCTGTTTTGCTCCTACAGGTTGGAGCTGTACTCCAAAGTGCCCAATCTGAGGATCCTGGCGTGCGGCGGTGATGGCACGGTGAGTCCAGCATCAGGACCACACCTGGTTCTTTACCTGTTTTATTCAGGTAAAATCAGGCTCAGTTCTGGGTTTTTACCTGGATCTGTTTCCGTGGTAACAAATGCCAAAGCCCTAACCTGATCTGGACCCTGTCAGAGTTCTGGATTAGAGAATAAACAGGTTTAACGTGTCGGTCTCTCTGTTTCTGGGTCCAGGTGGGCTGGATTCTGTCGGTGTTGGATGAGTTGAAGCTCCGCCCCCAGCCTCCTGTGGCCATCCTTCCTTTGGGGACGGGGAATGACCTGGCCAGGACCCTCAACTGGGGCGGGGTGAGTCGGATCTGCCGTGAGACGTTGGTTCTGAATGAAACCGTTCTGAGCCAACAGGAGCTCATCTTCATCCAGGGTTCTGAAGAAGATGATGATAATCTGGGTCTTTTTCCCTCAGATGAACCTGATCTTTTAATCTGATTCGTTTTTCTTAGTAAATAAAAGGTTCTGATCAGGTTTTGGGCCCGTTTGTGTCAGGGTTACACGGATGAACCCATCACAAAGATCCTGTCTCATGTGGAGGACGGGAACGTGGTCCAGCTGGACCGGTGGAACCTACACGTGGAGGCCAACCCGGAGGTTCGACCTGACGAGCGGGATGAGCAGCAGACAGATAAGGTCCGTTTCTCTCCTTCTGTTTTGTGAAAAACAAACTTTTTCTCCATTTTTAAAAAAACTTTGGTTTCTTTCTCAGCTTCCAATCGATGTTTTCAACAACTACTTCAGCCTGGGCTTCGACGCTCACGTCACGCTGGGCTTCCATGAATCCAGAGGTCAGTCTGCTCCCACCATCAGTTTAAATTATCTGCAGTGGTGGCGCTGTTCTGCTAATCTGCTAATAGCGCAACTAGCTTCTCATTTAGCAGGTTAGCTTTTTCACTAACTCTGGAAACAGTGAAATAATTAGCTTCTGTTAAATTAGGTTCTTCTAATTTTAAGTCCACAAAAATATTCTCAAAGTGTAAAACTTGTATTTTTATGCCATTTATCCCAAATTAAATAAAAACTATCATCCCTTACAAGCAGTGCTGGACGTGTGTGTTAGCATGTAAGATCTTTAGCAGCTAAACTTCAAACTAAGAGCATCAAAAAGAAATAAAATGACATTTAACAATATTTAAATAAAAACAAATGCAAAAACTGAATATGATACAGAAAGCATTTGCCATTTGTTGTTGGACTAACTTCACACGATATTTATGAAAAATACGTTCGTACATTTGTCTTAGCAGTTAGCATTAGCTTTAGCAAATTTAGTATCCGTTTAGCGTTAGTTACAGCTAATATTTTAAATCAGTTTAGCGTATTAGTGGTTAAGGAAACTAACGTTTTAGTTAGCTGTACTCACCACTGCTCATGTGGTTGTGGACAGTCGTCTTAGCGTTAGCATTAGCTTAAGCAAATTATTATCTATTTTGAGGTTTAGCGTTAGCGGAGCTAAGATTCGTGTTTAGCGAATTATTGGTTGGTGAATCTAACATTTTAGTTTGCTGTGCCTACCACAGCTCAAGTGATTGCAGATAGTGGTCTTAGTGGTTAGCATTAGCTTTCTCAAATTTTTATGTATTCTGCTATTTAGCATTAGCATAGCAAATATTTTTTGTTTAGTGTTTTTATTAGCTGTGTCCACCACAGCTCACGTGGTTGTGGAGGAATTTTGGCCCACAGGTTGGATCACAGTGTCATCTGTGTCGCTGTGGAAGTTAACTCTGTTGTTTGCTGATACTAAAGAGCTGTACTGATCCAAACAGAACCTTCCAGAACCTCATGAAGAACTAAACAAAGCTGTCTGATTCTGTTGTTTTGTGCTTTTAGAGGCGAACCCAGAGAAATTCAACAGCCGCTTCAGGAATAAGATGTTCTATGCTGGGGTGAGTGTAGTCCAGACTCGGTTCTGATGGTCCATCTGCACCAGAACCTGCTGCTAATATCTGTGTTACCTTTCAGACGGCCTTCTCTGACTTCCTGAGTGGCAGCTCCAAAGATCTGGCGAAACACATCAAAGTGGTGGTGAGTTGGATCTTCATCACCTTCATCCTCTTCCTCCTTAGTCTTCAGAGGACCGGTTCTATCATAGACCTGTATTCTGGTTATTCTGTCCTGTAACTCTGAGTACTCTGTCCTGTAACTCTGCGTACTCTGTCCTGTAACTCTGAGTACTCTGATTATCCTGTCCTATAACTCTGAGTACTCTGTCCTGTAACTCTGAGTACTTGTCCTGTAACTCTACTTGTCCTGTAACTCTGAGTACTTGTCCTGTAACTCTGAGTACTTGTCCTGTAACTCTGCATACTCTGATTATCCTGTCCTGTAACTCTGCGTACTCTGTCCTGTAACTCTGAGTACTCTGATTATCCTGTCCTGTAACTCTGAGTACTTGTCCTGTAACTCTGAGTACTTGTCCTGTAACTCTGAGTATTTGTCCTATAACTCGTGAGTACTCTGTCCTGTAACTCTGAGTACTCTGTCCTGTAACTCTGAGTACTTGTCCTGTAACTCTGAGTACTTATCCTGTAACTCTGAGTACTCTGTCCTGTAACTATGAGTACTTGTCCTGTAACTCTGAATACTTGTCCTGTAACTCTGAGTACTCTGTCCTGTAACTCTGAGTACTTTGTCCTGTAACTCTGAGTACTTGTCCTGTAACTCTGAGTACTTTGCCCTGTAACTCTGAGTACTTTGCCCTGTAACTCTGAGTACTTGTCCTGTAACTCTGAGTACTCTGTCCTGTAACTCTGAGTACCCTGTCTTGTAACTCTGTGTACTTTGTCCTATAACTCTGAGTACTTGTCTTGTAACTCTGAGTACTTTGCCCTGTAACTCTGAGTACTTGTCTTGTAACTCTGAGTATTTTGCCCTGTAACTCTGAGTACTTGTCCTTTTACTCTAAGTACTTGTCCTGTAACTCTGAGTACTTGCCTTGTAACTCTGAGTACTTGTCCTGTAACTCTGAGTACTTGTCCTGTAACTCTGAGTACTTGTCTTGTAACTCTGAGTATTTTGCCCTGTAACTCTGAGTACTTGTCCTGTAACTCTGAGTACTTTGCCCTGTAACTCTGAGTACTTGTCCTGTAACTCTGAGTACTTGTCCTGTAACCCGGCTTGTTGATGTGTTTTAGTGTGATGGCACAGACCTCACAGCCAAAGTCCAGGAGATGAAGCTGCAGTGCCTCCTCTTCCTCAACATTCCCAGGTAATCTACAGGCAGATTATTATAGAAAAAATACTTTACTGGAAGTAAACCTTCCTGAGTAAAGTAATTGTACTTCAATTTTAAATTCATCTTCTGCTGTAAGTTTGTTTCTTCAGAATAAAGGTCAAAGCTTAAGAGGTTCAAATCCATTTCCTGTTCCCTCTGGTCCAGGTACTGTGCCGGCACCACACCGTGGGGGAACCCCAGCGAGCATCAAGACTTCGAACCTCAGCGTCACGACGACGGCTGCATCGAGGTCATCGGCTTCACCATGACATCACTGGTGAGGCTCCACCCACTCCACATCAGGTCTATATGAGGTCCACATCAGGTCCACATCAGGTCTATATGAGGTCCACATCAGGTCCACATCAGGTCTATATGAGGTCCACATCAGGTCTATATGAGGTCCACATCAGGTCTATATGAGGTTCACATCAGGTCCACATCAGGTCTATATGAGGTCCACATCAGGTTTATATGAGGTCCACGTCAGGTCCACATCAGGTCTATATGAGGTCCACATCAGGTCTATATGAGGTCCACGTCAGGTCCACATCAGGTCTATATGAGGTCTACCGTCAGGTCCACATCAGGTCTATATGAGGTCCACATCAGGTCTATATGAGGTCCACGTCAGGTCTATATGAGGTCCACATCAGGTCTATATGAGGTCCACGTCAGGTCCACATCAGGTCTATATGAGGTCCACATCAGGTCCACATCAGGACTATATGAGGTCCACATCAGGTCTATATGAGGTCCACATCAGGTCTATATGAGGTCCACTTCAGGTCCACATCAGGTCTATATGAGGTCCACATCAGGTCTATATGAGGTCCACGTCAGGTCCACATCATGTCTATATGAGGTCCACATCAGGTCTATATGAGGTCCACGTCAGGTCCACATCAGGTCAACATGAGGTCCACATCAGGTCCACATCAGGTCTATATGAGGTCCACATCAGGTCCACGTCAGGTCTATATGAGGTCCATGTCAGGTCCACATCAGGTCTATATGAGGTCCATGTCAGGTCCACATCAGGTCTATATCAGGACCACATCAGGTCTATATCAGGACCATATCAGGACCACATTAGGACCACATCAGATCCACATCAGGACCAGTCAGACCTCTGTCAGACCCTCAGCTGATGTTACCTGTGTGTCTTCAGGCCACGCTGCAGGTGGGCGGTCACGGCGAGCGTCTCCATCAGTGTAAGGAGGTGACCCTCACCACCACCAAGTCCATCCCCATGCAGGTGGACGGAGAGCCCTGCAAGCTGTCCCCGTCCATCATCCGCATCAGCCTGCGCAGCCAGGCCAACATGGTCCAGAAGGTGAAGAGGAGGATCAACATGCCCCACCTGAACGAGTACGACTCACCTGCTCAACTCACCTGGGAAACTGTAAATTAAAACAAGTGACAGGAAGTGTGTGTGTGTGTGTGTGTGTGTGTGTGTGTGTGTGT